GGACACCGTGGCTGCAAATACGGGGCTCAGGCTCAGGCACACGTGTGAAGGTGGCCGCGGAACAGGCAGTGTGTCATTCTGCTGTGCACATGGTCCCTGAGGGGCAGAACTGGCTCATGCAAACCCGCAGGGTGAACAAAACAGTAAAATACAAGCTGTGTGAGAAATGAAAGAACGGGAGGGAAATAATAACTACGGAATTGCTATGTGCCACACTCACAATCATCCTATTTTAGAATATCCCCCTTTAAAAATCAAGGAATCCGATTCCCAGAGTCTCAATATCTCGTTTGATTAAGGTCAGTCAGCTGGGAAGGAACAGCGACAAGATTAGGAACCGGTGACTTAGTTCAAATGGAGAGTTCCGGGGTCACCACTTCACCACGTACCCCTCCAATCCTGACAAGGCCGCCTCGGCGGGCAGCGGCAACCCTTCTCAAGGTCAGGTAGAAACCACATTTAGGAACTAACGAAGCAATCACTTACTCAAAACCTCACTGCCGTCAAGTGGATTCTGACTCACAGAGACCCTATAGGACAGGACAGACCTGCCCCTGTGCATTTCTGGGACCCTGACTCTTTGTGGGAGAACGGTTGGTAGCTTCAAACCGATGATCTTGCAATCGCAGCTCAGTGTGTAACCCACTACACTATCAGGGCTCCAAAGCTTACTCACAATGGGCACTAACTAGGTATATATTGTTTTAACTCAGGGGAACTATATTAAAACTTATGTGGAAACCAGATTTTAAAAACTGTGTGTGTTCATTCATAAATTTTAGGATTTGTTAGGAATACATGTGGTTCAATCCCTGACTCTACTTCCTTGTCACTTATTTCAGAAGAAAGTAATCTATGGACACACTTTCTAATGCAACTGATATGCCAACAACGATTACCTCTTGGCTGTACAAATCTGGAGGAAAGAATACTTAATCGACAAAATCAGCCATGTTCAAAGGACATAGCAAAAGGTTCAGGAACCCAAATATAAGCACTGGGACTCAGATAAGTGCCTGTTTGGATGGAAGCCTAGTAAGATTATTTAGAAAGAACAGAGTAACCCCAAATTTTCTGATTAGCTCTATTTTAAAACTTTGAAAACCAAGTAAAAATCAGATTTCTGGCTATCATGAGGACCTGATACCAGGGGCTTATGTGGAGAGGAAATGTTTTGAGAATGATGAGGGCAATGAATGTACAAATGTGC